GAGATATGCACAACAAAGGCTAGGTCAAAACTGTCAATGCAGTTTGAATCAACATTATCTGGTCAGCATAAACCATTTAATGAAGTCTAACTGCATTGAACTGCATCATGCGAATCTTCACTGCCTATACATGGCAGATTTGAATTGCGTTATATGGCATCTTTATATAAAAAAGAATCTATTTAGGTCAAGAAATGAGGGTTCTGCTGTTTGTTGCAAAGACTCCCATCTCTTCTCCCACACCCAAGAACTATTGAATCATTCTGTGTTTATCATTTTTCTAAATGGGCTTCTCTAAATCATCATTTCTTCAAAACTTTTAACATCTTCTAAGCTGTCAAAAAGAATAAAAATGAATATAAATTAATACAATAAATAATGTGATAAAATGGCTTCAGTGATATCTTGGAATCTTTGCAAAATGTATAATTTACCATCTGCAAAGAACTGGCTGGAAGATAAGCCTGAAAAAAAAATAAGTGAAGGAAAATGTTATGTGAGTCAGATACAAACTGATAAATGATTCTTATATAGTTATGCCAGACATAAGTGTAGTTGAGAAAAAGAAAGTTTGGATTATAGATACAGTACAGCAGTTCCTGAGGACAATGCATGGGGGAGGGGGAGGAATTGTGCAATATTGAGAATTACAAATGGAGATTCAGTAAATGTGGGAAACCAGTGGTTTCAGTGGTGATAAGTAAGCTGGGGACAATTACAAACAAGCTTTTAAGTTGCCTTTGGTCCCCTGGAAGGAGAAACATAAGAATAAATGAATAAATAGCTAACAGAACATTTGGGAGAACAATAAACAAAATGAAGTTCAACAGTGACAAATGCAAGATACTCCACTTAGGCAGAAAAAAATGAAATGCAAAGATACAGAATGGGAGATGCCTGGCTCGAAACCAGTAGTGTGAAAAAGATCTTGGACTCCTCAAGGTCATGTGGTGGCAAAAAAAAAAAGCCAATGAGATTTTGATTTGCATAAATAGGAATATAATGTCTAGATCCAGGGAAGTCACACTACCCCTCTATTCTGCCTTGGTCAGACCACATCTGGAATACTGTGTCCAATTCTGGGCACCACAATTTAAGGGTGATCTTGACAAGCTGGAATGTGTCCATAGGAGGGCAACTAAAATGATCAAGGGTCTAGAGAACAAGCCCTAGAAGGAGGGGCTTAAAGAGATTGGCATGTTTAGCCTGCAGAAGAGAAGGCTGAGAGGAGACATGATGGCCATGTATAAATCTGTGAGGGGACGTCATAGGGAGGAGGGAGCAAGCTCATTTTCTGCTGCCCTGGAGACCAGGACATGGAACAATGGCTTCAAACTACAGGAGATTCCACCTGAACATTAGAAAAAAATTCCTGACTGTGAGAGCTGTTCAGCAGAGGAGCTTTCTGCTGTGGATTGTGGTGGAGGCTTCTTCTTTGGAGGCTTTTAAGTAAAGGCTGCATGCCATCTGTGGGGAGTGCTTTGAATGCAATTTTCCTGCTTCTTGGCAGGGGGTTGGACTGGATGGCCCACAAGGTCTCTTCTAACTCTATGATTCTATGAAAGTACAATAAATATCATCACAACAACAACATTACAAAATGATACTACTTGGAAGATTCCACATTAGTGGACAATATCTTACTGATTCCTACTATCTTACTGATTTAGCATACCACCCCACTGCTATGTCAACTCCACTAGCTGCCGGTCCATTTCCAAGCACAATTCAAAGTGCTGGTCTTGGCCTATAAAGCCCTATACGGCTCTGGCCCAGCTTACTTCTCCGAATGTATTTCCCTCTACGTTCCACCTCGTAGTTTGAGATCTACTGGGGAGTCCCTGCTCTCAGTCCCACCAGCCTTGCAAATGCATCTGGTGGGGACGAGGGACAGGGCCTTCTTGGTGGTGACCCCCTGCTTGTGGAATTTGCTCCCCAGCAAGATCAGGTCAGCTTCATCCCTCCTTTCCTTTAGAAAAAAACAGAAATCATAGTTTTGGAACCAGGCCTTTGACCACCATGCATGACAGCACTTTCGACATTGAACTGGACCATATGATTGTGATAATTAATGCTTATTGTTTTTAATCTATTGTTTTATTTATGATTTTATATTGCTATTATCTTGTCATATTTGTGGCATCAAATTGTTGCTATGAAACCAAGAGTATAATAGCAATGCCATCACTACCAACAGTCCATGTTTATAGAGTTGACTTCATGATCGAAGTGGCACACAGAGTAATGCTGGAGTAATGATCTAGATATCCCTAAATAGGAGTTTTCTCAAGTTAAAAACAAGTGTGTAAGCTTCTTTCTTCTTTTTTTTTACAATTTTTTCACATTTGCAGTGGTCCTATACCCCTAAACAGTAAATTTGGAAGGCTGGCCAGTTATTTTTGCAGTTACTGCTACTAAGCCCTTACTTTTAGAATGAGCAGACCTCATTTCTATGAACTGATAGTATCTGAGTTTGAGAATATATAAACTGGTCTCAATCCCCTCCATTGCAAGAAGCCCTGGGGATGGGTGGGCATATTGGTTGTATATTAGCAGCAAGGTTGGAAAGGAACTCAGTACATACTATCTCCTTTAACTATCAAGATAAACAGTAAGTTCTGCTTGTGTTTATGTGAATGAAAGTAGAACTTCTTCTCAAAGCTTGCCAGTCAACACAGCAAGATCTGGACTTAGAAGGAAGACATGGGGCCAATGTGCACAGTTCGCTAAGCTCAGAGGGAAGGTGAGGGTCTACTGAGCATAGTTCCCTTCCCTATTCCTGCAAGTTCTATTCCTAATCAGACTAAACGTCTAAACAGGGCTCCATTCATAGTTGGACCAGGAAAACCTATAACAACAACAACAACAACAATATACAACTTTATTTATATCCTGCCCTATCTCCTCAAGGGGTATGCAATGCATGAGAAAGATTGGATCTACACAGCCATATAATGCAGTGTAGATCTAGTCAAAGTCTATAGCTCTCAGAATCCCCCAGCCTGACAAGCTCAGAGATTTTGTGATTTGTAATCTGACAAATCACAAAATCACAAAATCTCATTGTGCTTCCCATAAAATGTAGAATTCTGTTAAAAGATATTAATACTACAGCAATTCAAGCTGATAGAGATATCTTCAAGCAAAATAAAGCAAAAACCAATTTGACGCTTAAATATGTGGGTGTGGCACAGTTGCACAGTCTCACATATACAGAATGTAAAAGAGGAAGATTAATATGCAAACGGCATAGACATAATTAATGCAGAGCTAATATACATTAGCTTTCATTCAGTTTCAAGTAATGGAAGTAACTATCTGACAATTCATGGGGTAGGAAAGGGAAGACTCTTTGTGTATCATCCCTCATGATGAGACATTTCTGTGTAGTATACACGCCAATGGTTGTACATTCCAATTATAGCATTTTTAATACTCAGATATTTTGGATTTCTTCAATGTGCTGTAGATTTGGTATGACCAGAATCTAAAGGACTGATTTTTGTATGCAAGTGAGCAGAGCTCATGCATAGCCAGGGCTTAATGTTCTTGCCATAGTAGTTCCCACTGCCAAGGAGACAATCTGTTATTCATTCTGAAAAACAGTTATTTCATTGCCAGCTCAAAGTGCTTTGGTTCTGGCTGATTGCACATTTCTGCCCCACATATGCATAGCACGTCTTTCGATCCTGCTCCATGTTTTTATTTTACTAGTGGTATTTTCCCATTCCAATCAAATTCTAGTCTGATCATTGCTTTATTTGGATTCCTAAGGCCAGAATGAACTGATGAAAATTTTAGAGATATGTAGATTCCAAATTGACAGGAAATGTGCATGGAATTATGGAATCTGTGGCTTAAAAGTCTTTAATAATAAAGTCCAAATCTGTATGAACATTTGCATCTGTCTGAATCTAATAGAAAAACAGCGTGGGCATGTGAGAAGTTGCTGAAAGTGGTGTAAGCAGTAGCCAATACTGCTTTTAAATCCATGTAAGCACAACCAGCCATCCTTTGAAATCACAGATTAGATATGGAAGGCTGATATGAAATCATTGAAAAAATTCTGTTGCATGAATTCAAGGTATTTAAGATCAATTGCAGAATTCTTATTCCTTTTGTTGTTAATTCTTATAACCTACATATTCTTGCTATAATGAGTTGAGCAGCCAAATCCAGTTGAATTTAGTATCATCATACACTTCTGAGCTTCTAGTCAATCTCAAAACTTCTATATTTATCTAACTAATGTACATTTACTAACAAAAATAGCTGCCAAAATCCTGTATTAGGAGATGTAGATAAGTAAACTACCTTCAATTATTTCCACTACATTTTCTGGTGTGACTACAAAAAACAACAACAACAAAAAAACCCAAACCTACCTTACAGGCCAGATAGTGCCACCAAGATGTTGGGCGTTGGGGCAGCAAATAAATAAGTATGTTGCTGTCTCCCAATTATGAGGTGCTTTGAAACAGCCACACACAGGATTTTTTCATAAAATGTCTCACTGCTGGGAGAGGGCTGAAGGCTTCTTCACTCACTACTTTGCAGTGCCTTGGAAATGCCAATGTTGGTGGCTCTGACTGGCTTCTAAGGTGAGTTTCTGAGGTGCTCTCACTGGTGCACCAAGACCAAGAATTCTAGTGCTTGTGATATAAATCTATTTTTTAACATCGTGAATACTGAGCAGGATGTAAAGCCTAGTATTTTGTAGCAAAACATAATACAATGACTGTGTTTTGTCATGGGCTGAATTAATGAAGTATTTTGAGACATTTTAATAAGATGTGTAGCTAGTACACCTTTTCCATTGAAATGGTTGCCTTAGTTTTTGTCTCAGTTTATGTTTGCTGCACTTTTGGTTACTCTACTTTGGGACTGCAAAAGAGAATAAACTTTCACAAAAAATATTTCTTAAAGATTTAGAGGTTTGACATTTTTTCTTTGTCTTCCCTCATCTTAAACTCCAACCTTCATCTGTTTTATCTTTACAGATTATGTTGCTTACTGACCCAGAAATTGAGAGTAGTCTTCTGATCAGTTCGGATGAAGGAGCCACCTATCAAAAATACCGGCTGAACTTCTACATCCACAGCATGCTCTTCCATCCAAAGCAGGAAGATTGGATTCTAGCCTACAGTCAGGATCAGAAGGTTGGTGTGGGCACTTACATTGTGAGATGATTATTTGGAGAATCCGGGAATTGTTAGTCGAAACAAGTAAAATTTACAAACACTTATCAACTAAGCTGGGAAAGGATGAGGCTTGTATGAAGGAACAGACTGCTAAAATGTTTGTCCTCTTCATCAAGCCTTAACAACTGAAACTGATCCCAAGAAAACCGATCAGATGGAAGACTGGACATATCCGGAGACTCTGTGATAACTGCAGCACAAGTTCTGAGCAAATACAGGCAACTTTCTCCTTGCTGTATTGAAAGAGTTATTGTAGCAGGTAGATGAGGAGTCAATTCCTATTATCTCTGAGCCTAATCTCAATAGGTTCCTTACTACTTGGCATGTTCCCCAGAGTCCCATTGAGGATCAAAATAAAGAAGCACAAAGGACTTTTTACTTGTTTTTGCCAACATCATTCCAGAGAAACAAGAGTAATGAAGAAATTTCAGTGTTCTTCAGTCATATTCACTCTGTAATTGATGCCATCTATTGTTCCTATTTATCTCCACCTTTATCACATAGTTTTCTCTTTCAGAGATTGGCCTCTAAATAAATAAGATGAATAAGATAGAGCACATAGACACATATTCTTTTTTGTTAGTAATTGCTTGTTGCATTGCATTGGAGCTGTTCTGCTATATGAGCTTGTAGGCCTGGGGATTACGGTGCTAGGTTTGTAGATTTAAAGTGGTATTTTCAGCTCCCTGCTACAAGTTGTAGAATTTTCCATATGTAATGCATGAATTGTGGGATAATTGAAGAAGCAATGTTATAATGAAATAAAATAGGTAGGTGCAAAGTAACTGCTGGAAATCAGAAGGAAGGGAGAAAGTGACAAGCAGGCCGACAGAATTACAGATTTTGGCCAAGCTCATTGACAACACAAAATGGTGAGCTTCCATTTAATAGGCATAAAAATTATTTGTAACCAAAGCTACAGGGAAAATCTAACATAATTTCTGAGCAATCAAACCTTGGATGGAATTTCTGAACTGAAGAAATTTAAAAAGGATTAAACATTTAAAAAACATCAAAGAAACAAAAGCACATTACTTTACTACTTGCCCATTGTGATTATTAGATACATATTTTGTTTGATTTCATCAAGAAGAAGACGGAACCAGTATAGTGTAGTGGTTTGTGTATTGGACGAGGGTTCGAATTCCTGCTCGGCAATGAAATCCAGGGGGTGACTTTGAACAGCCTGAGAGGAAGGCAATGGCAAACCCCTTCTGAACAAATCTTGAATAGAAAACCCTGTGATAGATTTAGAGTGGACATAACTGAGGTACAACTTGAAGGTATATGACATTAGCAGAAATTGCAGCAGCAACAAATATTGATTTTTGCTTATAGAACTTACAGTTTACATCACTTTGAATTGTAGCTTTAAGACTCTGTTCTGGATCTGGCAACCAATTGGATGCTTTGCAGTAAAACCAGAATGTTCCCCTTTTTGTCTTTTTTTAGGGATGGAAATACTTTTTGAAACTGTATTTTTTTAAAAGAAATGGTCAAAATATGTTTGTCAAATGTTGGAGAACTCTGATAAGAAGAATAGTGAACTAAAGCTATTCTTGAAGAACTGAGATTATTCTAAATAAAATTAACATAGTTATTATTCTGTGCAACAGCATTTTATCTGTAAGAAATAGCATTTTCTACACATAAATAATATGGATTGAAATTGGATGTTTTCTGTGAGAAAAACATGAGAAATCTGCATAGAACGAGTCTAGAAATGTGTATAATCTTAGAAAACTGTGCAATTTTCAAAGACTTTCTTGTAATGCAATAAAAGTTGCTAAACGACTGGTTTTTCCCTTCAATTACACAATTAAGAACAAATTACATCAGTACTTTCCAATACTTTCTGTCCCAAATCTGAATGTGGAAAGCAATGGTGTTACATACCAGTGGCACTGCATGCAAAACTCAGTGAAGAGAGATCACCCTGTGGCTTTATGCAACATCTACTTATTTTTCCTTTTATCTCAAGACAGATGAAACAGTAGGTATTTTTGTATGCTGTCTTCTTTTTTTAGGATTCTTTATCTCAGGTTCTGAAATTGGTACAACCCTTGGAATGTATTTTTCTTTTAACTTGTCCATAAACTCATGTGCAAACAAAACCATAAAGCATGCTATCTAAAAGCATCTATCACTCAGTGTCTTATTACATCTCACTAAACATTATGTTTTGCAACACATCTTAAAATAAATGAAAGAAATAAAGTAAATAGCAGTTGATAATAGAACAGCCCTATCCTTCTTTTTGAGAAAAAAAACAACAAGGAAAAGCAAGTAAACCAGTGAGCAACTTGATGTAATAGAAATCTAAACAAGAGAATTTTATCCATAGAATTTCCTGCGGGAAAACAGAAAAGAAAATTTAAACATTAAACATTTTACATTGGAGTAAACACATATGCTGGTAGAAATTTTCTGGTCCTTCAGTTACTACCTAACAATTATAACTTGACAGATCCTTTAAGAAATTCCTCAGTACCTTTAAAAAGCTATCATTTGCATTGAGAATGTGTTCTTAACAAATTAAATAATGAACAGTTTGTTCTTCTTTCATGAAAATCCACATCTGCAACTTCAGATAATTGCCCAGTTCTGCCTAATGGTATGGCCAGGCCTGGCTGCTCAACTCATTACATGATGTTCTCGTGTAAGTTGGATTCTCTCTTCCTTATCTAAAATAGATTTCTGAGCTTTTTTAAAGTATTAGACTAATGGTGCATCTATACTATAGACTTAATGCAGCTTGACATCACTTTAACTGCCATGGGTCAATGCTAAGGAATCATGGGAGTTGTAATTTTATAAGGTTGTTAGCCTGATCTGCCAAAAAATTCTGGTCCTCCACTAAACTACTAATCCCAGGATGCCATAGCATTGAGTTATAGCTGTTCAAGTGATGTCGAACTGTATGTATTCTATATTATACAGATATCCAGAGTTCTGTAGGATCTGCTTATAATGGAATTTCCACATGCAAAAGCAGCACTGAAGTACTGGAGAATGAGGGAAGACAAGAGAAATCTATCTCTATTAGATTACATTTTCCACTACCAGCAGTGTTTGTGTTCTTAACACATGCATAGAGATCTCCTGTACATTTAAGATGCTCATGCACAAAGATGATTTCACTATTATTAGAAAATGAACCATATTTGAGAGAAGAGGATTGATTCAAGATACCTTTGCTTGAAATGTTTAATGAGGATTGTAAAGAAGGCTGAAGGAACATTGTGGGAAAACTAATTGCTGGACTGTTAATCTTAGTGCATTTTAAATGACTGTCTCCCTTCTGATGGATATCTGAAGGCTTTATCATTATCACTGGGCTCCATCAGGAATAAATAAACAAGTACCCAGGTAGTCAGTGAAACATATTGATAGCTTCTGTTTAATCTGACTGATTTCTTAGTACTATTTTAAGAACTTGGATTTTTCCAGCTATCTGTTTGATTTTCTACATAAAGGAATCTTTAAATCATGGAAGAACTGGCATTTGGCAGGAAAGGGAAAGTTATGGCTATGTAGGTCACATAGTATTGGATCTTTGGGTAAGAGAAGAGAAGCTTTGCATAAGCAAATTTTCCCATGCTGTTCTCTTATCCACCTTCCAATAGACACATATATTTTCCCAGAAGTATGTTTGGAGAAATCACCTCCCAGTAAACAAAAATATGGATTGATGCTAAAGAAGGACAGAATCATTCATAATTAGTCAGAATCGAATTCTTCTGAGATGTTTTTCAAGGAATGAAAATGGTTTCTGCATGTGGGAATGATGGAAACTATGAAACTATTGTAGAGCTAAGATAGTTTACAAAATTATAATATACTGCCAAAGTCTACTTGTTCATTTCATTTCCTTCTGAAGATGATATTGTTGTTGTTCTTCTTGTTAAAATAATTGTCTTTGTACCTTGCTTTCCCCCTTAAAACTGGGACTCATAGTAGTTTAAAATTAAGACAAGTAGAATATAATTAAAATATAAGTATGTGCTTGCCTTCCTCTGAGGCTGAGAGAATATAATTTGCCCAAGGTCACCCAATAGTTTTTATGGACCTCTGGTCACCAGAGTCACAGTTCAATGCTCAAATTATTACGTCATGACAGCAGTCTTCTTTGAAACATGCAAAAAACTGGATTTAAAACATACAATGAAAACTGTTGCTAAGTAGTTTTTAAACAGCAAATGAAATAGGATAGCACACCCTCAAAAATCATTCCTTAAAAATACTTGAGTTCTCCAAATGTTGTTGCAATATATAAAAAAAGATTTGTTTGTCATCGGTAGTATAGAAAAAATAGATTATTACGGCTTTCCCAGGAATTGACTTCCAGAGCCTAGAAACATACATTGTAGAGGCCTACTCTACAATGGAATATAATCCAGTTTCTGAATCCAGATTATTTACTTTGAACTGGATTATATTGCCATGTAGACTCATATGACCCAGTTCAAAGCAGATAATCTGGTTTCAGAAAACTGATTGAATGACAGTGTAGATCCAGCCTGAGAAGAGCCAATTACATATCCCTCTTAATTGTGTTTTTAGAGGATGTGAGACTGATCTCAGGGCTCAGGCAGGCTCATAGGCAGAAATATGATTAGTCAGATGCTCTCTCGTTTTAAATCTCCAAGTATCGGATGGAGGCAAAGTTCACATTAAATGAGAAAATAAGGAAAGTCTAATGGTGCCTCAGAAATCAAGGATCAATGAGCCTGGATTCATTCATAGTCCCATAATAGGATGAAATATGGACTGCTGATATAGAATATTTCATTTGCCAAAGTCACTCATGATATCACCCAGCACATGGAAAGTTCTCAATAGCCTTTTGAGTTTTGTGCTCAGCTATAGGATTTGGAAAGACTCTGAGCAAATAACAAGTTTGTGCTATTATCTCCTGTTGGATGGGAACAGGATCTGCCACTGAAATTTATTGTGGA